AACCAAACATCCTTATTAGACCACACAACCCATTGGTTAACACCCCTATCACTACCCTTATGACTACGGGCAGGTTTTTTTGAAAACTCAGTTTGTACACTCCAAATTGAGGAAAACTCTGGGTTTTTAAGTTCCAGAAACAGAGAACACTTGAACTCGAGTTAGTTACCATGATGACTTACTCTGAATCTAACCTGCTCACTGGCAGGTTTTCTTCAACAAACCCTGAATTTCTCTGTCTCCTTCGTCCTGCCGAGTGAAGAAGCTGACACACTGCGTTATTTCCTCATTCACATAGCCCATAAAGACAGTTTGGTCTGTGTCTCAACTAGTCACTCTTTCTGAGGTTGAATCCTAAAGACTTCTGATTATTTATTGAGTTCAACCGAATCCATTTGAAAAGGTGGCTGTTAAATCACAAGTCTGTATATTTGGACTCCAGCCACCTTACTCACCCCACTGGAATCACAGAAGTTATATAATTTTAACCTACGGGCCCGTAAAGAAAACCAATATTTCTAGGTTTTATAAGCCTGAAGGTTACCAAACTGATGAGCTAGTGGCTGCATCGGTGTTTCCACATGGTAACGTTCCTCTATGGCGCCCCACACCACAAAAATCTTTGCCCCTAGGGCAAAATTTTTTTATTAAATCAAACCAATTATTCATTTAATCAAGCACCTCAATGACTCGTCTGGGAAGAGTCTAAAACAACACGAGTTCCATACACAGGTACAGTTAAGGTCAACTCAGACAGAGCGCTTTTTTAGATGTGTTTTTCATGCAACAGATAGAACTCCATTTTATCAAATGTGTCAGACACACATTTGACACGTGAAACTATTGTTGTCCAGCACGTATCTAGTCTCGATTGACCTGGTGAAGACGTTTGTCTGCTATCCTTTTAGCTCATCAGGAGCTGATGACAGCTGCTCTGATGCAGAACATTCATTCGGGCTGTGGTTATGTTGCTGGGTGAAGCACTGGACTGGCAAACTGTTGATGATTTAATTTAGCAACCACAAAAACTTAGATTATAACTATCACAGAAAAATAACTAGCCTACATCCATCCATATATTGTTTGTTCACCTCCATAGAAAAAAATGCCATTTGTCTCTTGATCCACAGGAAACACTGGATGCATTTATGATAAAAAAGCATCCATCTGTAAATAAGGATAAGGATAATCACCTTTATTTGGCCAAGTATGTTATACACAAGGAACTTGCTTCCGGTACAGAACTGAGGCAGCCATCTGCGGTACCAATTCAACTTGGGGGTTCAGTGTCTTGCCACAGTCGCCCTGTGTTTCATACTAGTGTTTCCACTAGGATGTTTTTCAACAGGGAAACACTGACATGGTGGGGGTTTGAAATAGCTGGTGGTCAGAGTGATAAAAGATTGAATAAAAAAACAAAACAATATTTTTTAACTAGACTGCAAATGAAGTTTTAGGACATATTTAATGAGAGCTAAATAGTTATCAATAAGCTAAATGGTTTTATTCCCCCAGGACAATCAGGAATATCCAGATCTACCATATGAATTTGATGAAAGCCTATCAATTGTGTATGTTTTATGTCATTTTATAACCTAATTAGGCTACATCACAAACATTTTTTTGCACAGACTAGCAAGTAGTAGCTGCACTTGCATCACTGGAAAGGGCTGGTCATGCTGTTTATTTTGAGATTCGATTTGCGACAAGAAAATGAGTGACCTTACTTTCGGAGATATGAAATGAAGAGTAATGTGTGTCCAAGGAGTTGTTGGGGTTAAACAGAAAAATCTGACTTCAAGTTAGTTACTGCAATCTACCTTACTCTCCTTAGGCGGGCGTCTTCGTTTCCTACCATTGTTTCAAATTAAAAGGCCTATGCAGAGTCGTGTAAACGTGACAGTATGATACTTCATAAAATTCTGTAGCATTGGCAGGAATTATTCTGCAGTGGTGGGCCGCCGCTGCAAAATCTACATAGAAACGCTGTGCTTGACTAACAAATCACTGGTGAGAACAGACTTCTGAGATCCTCCATTTAAATGTGCACTCCACATTAGATGCTCTGTGAACCAACACCACAAGGTACTTCACAGCAAAGACAGCTGATTAAGCTACTTCACCCTCTCACGCACAATATCATTTTATGCTAAAAATGTAAACACTACCTGGGCCAAGGCTGTAATGAATCTAACATGTTGTGAAAAATTTGTTTTAGTGCACAGCCACAATACATTGTTTAAAACCACAGCAGCATGCATTGTTCAGGCATTTGTCATATCAGTGTTTTGTTTAGCAGTCCCCTTAGCATTCATCAGCTAACGGTCAGTTCAGCATCACTCATACCTGACCAACCAGTAACAATGAAATTCAAGCTAAAGACTTTGACAGAGATTGAATGATGATAATAACTACAGTTCTTAGGATGAAGAGAAAACTGGTGAACACTCATCCTTGATATTTTGGCCAATCAAGTGAAAGTCACTTTTGACTTTTCCCATTTAGGGGTCACCACAGCGAATCGTCACACTGACGACTCGCATGTTGACATTTGGCACGTTTTATGCCGGATGCCCTTCCGGACGCAACCCTGATTCGAACCCGGGCCGCAGCGGCGAGAGCGCTGCGCCTTAACCACTAGCCTACCAGGGACAGCTATTTTCGCCAATCAAGTAAAGAAACAAAATAAACAGTCTTAATGTATGACCTGACTGACACAGCAGACTGGTGATAATACTGTATGTGCTGTAAAAGTTGTATATAAGAGACCTACTAGAGCCAGTAAAGCAAGGGGTTGTTGATGCTTGCATAGCCTCCCTTCTGTAGTCCCTGTCTTTGGGAAAACTGTTGACAACTGCAGTTTTTGTCGCCTCTTTTTGCCTCTGTTCTCTGTGAAACACAGACAAGCATGCACAAAAACTGATATTAGTCATGTATCCAGCTTTTATATGACAATGAATAAAGTGCAACTATTCAAGTGCTCTTAGTAAAAAAGTTTATAGGTACCTTTCCAGCCACTCTTTGGGCTTCTCCCACTGAGACACCTCTGTCCTGCAGTTGTAATAGTATTTCTTTCCAGATGAGCTGATGTGCTCTGACCAGTCATCCCCAGGTTCATAAGGCTGAAAAAAGGAGCCAATATTTATGAACATGAGGCATATGAGAGAGAAGTCAATTGTGTGCATGTGTAGAGAGAGGGATCGGGCTGGGAACCAATACTCAGTTCCAAATTACAACTGAATTCAAAATGTCAAATACCAAATACCTGTTCATATATATATAAAAAATAAAAAAAATAAAAACTTTCAATTCTGCTTCAGTGCCTAAATACAAACCAAAGACTGCTGCAAAGACCATCTGACAGGGCCAGACTACATGACTAGCTAGCTTGCATGGCTAAAGTTACAACTGGTTACAAGCTGCAACTTACAAAACTGAAATACAGACTGCAGCAAACAGTCAAAAGTATGGCTATGCTTTTGTAAACAAAACGACAAGATTGGAAAGATAATAAGCTTCAAGTCTGGCTGCACATAAAATATGAGCAAACGTTTAAGGTGACATGACACTCATGTCAAAGACGGTGTTTGATGCCTTCTGGTCTTTGAGCCCAAGTGTGCCATCATCAAGCACCACTAAGCACTAGTAGCACCTCGCAAGCACACCCAGAGATGGGGACAGCTAGCCACGACACAGTTTTCACTGGCAATAAAGGAAAAGTTGACCAAAAGAGAAAACTGAGTGTCACAGAGCAGTAACAGCATTTGTAGTCAATGGGCTACATCCATTCTCAGTTGCTGAAAAAAAAAAAGCTGTAATTGAGGGAAAGATGAGACAAAGTACTCAAAATAAAAGCAATCTATACAGTGCAAAGAGGACTGATGTTGACTGAATAAATTAGTAACATTCTGCAAGAATTTGGCATCACTGATAAGAGTTGCTGTTACTGCTGGCAATGTCATGAACAAAGTCTACAACTCATAAAGCTAGGCTGTTTTGTGCACACACTTAATCTTGGGGCACAAAGTGCCTATTTTGTGGCATCATTTGACCCTTTTACAAAACAGCTCATTAATATAATATGCACATTTTAAAGATCTGAGCAGTGGTGTATTCTAATGCTTTTCATCTTTATGTCAAGTAGCAACAAAACAATGTCAAAGCTGTGAAAACTATTGAACAGCAGTAATTATACTGGAAAGAATGTTTAGCCCGTCATCTGCTCCCATGTTAAGGCAGAGGCAACACTTACTGTGTCTGAGACCTTGCTAGAGTTAGAATGCGAGTTGGAGCTGTGAAGGGAACTGTGGTTGTTAAAATTTTCTTGTGGAGAATAACTGGTCCCTGCAACAAAACAAAAGAGGAGAAAAGTCCATATCAGCAACGGCTAATAACCATAACAAGCCAAGTTCATGGACGCAACTGTAGAATGCTTGGTTTAAAACAAAAACAGAAAAATCAGCCAGAAAATTGTTGTACATGTGTGCTTAGTAACAAATATCACATAACAACATCAGGCAAGCCCATTAATGTAACAGTATTAAAAGCATCCCAAGTTTAAAACTCACTGTCACCACTAATAATAGGCTTTTGCTCATCCCATCTTCTCGGCCCAAGTATAATCAGATGCTAAGAGTGTAGGCACTTTGCAATATTTTGACATTTGTAACATATCTGAAACTGCTCCAAGCATAAATCAGTGAAGCAGACCACATCAGGGAAGGCATGATTGAATGGGAGAAGTGGAAGGAGATACACTGATCACCACTGTGCTAGATTTACTATGGACATACAGAGCAGGCAATCTGAACACATGCAATACCTGCAACATTTTGTGGCTTGTTCTACAGATGTAAAATATACACTTCAGCTTTGTAGATCAGGTAATTTCATAAAGCAGGTTACTTTGATGTACCTAAAACTGGGCAATGGAAAAACTGATAAAACGGGACTGGTATCTTAGTTGGATTTTTAAAAAAGTAACTTTCCTGTTCATGCTAAAAACAGAAAACTAAGGCTCATTGCTCTGACAGCTTTGATCCTGTCACATCTGGTCCTTGTTTATCTTCGTTATCAACCACTGGTTTAAGAACTCACATTAGGTACAAAGTGCTCTTTGCAATACCCTTTGTACACAAACGAAATATTAACTTCATGTTGCCAACATGAGGTATGTTAGAGTGGCACATAAATAGACTAGATGTTGACTGTCTATATGACACCTACAGACTGACACATGCATAATTAATCATGTTTTTCAAGTAATCAGTGTTTTGAAAGTCAGTTACCAAACTTAGTAAGGGTATGATTGTGATCTACCTGACAGTACCTGGGTAGTTTTTGATGGATGGTTATCAGCTGTATAAAGCCCAGCCCATTTCTTTAGATTTTTTTGCCCTGTGGGCACCAGCTGTCAACCAATGTGCAAGGCAAAAAAAAATAAAAAATAAAAAAAAATTTAAAAAAACCTTGGCAGGAAAAAAAATTTGCCACTGACGTAAAGATTACTACTTGCAGTTGTATGCCTCTGCCAGCCAGTGGAGGTGCAGTTTATATGCATGTCTTTCCAGAATCCTATTGTTACATCCCCCTCACAGGGTTCATCTGGCAATCCTGTTTTAAAGTGTACTTTTCTGCAGGTAGCTGGTAGGTGGAGTTATCACTCGCTCCTGTGAATCTGCAGCAACTGGCCTAGAGCAAAAAAGTACTGGTCTCTTGCCTCCCTGGAGCTCAGCTTTCTCCACCAACCTTCATCCATTGTTTAGTTTGTTTTTGCACCACGCAAAACAGTAGACTTCCATTTTCCATTCATCCATACACTGCACTCATGGCTGACCTTTGCCTACCAACACACCACACAATTATGTTTAGTTATGTTTTAGTTAAAATAAAATATTGGCAGGCAACTTAGTTCTGTGTGTGTGGCCTCCCTTTCTGTTAACAGCAATGAGCCAGGTGGTAACAATATGCAATGGAGACTGAAGGAATCTAGTAAAAAATATGAAATGTATTTCATTTGAAGAAATTCCCTCAAGGCAT